CCTCACAATGAACAGAGTAACATCGTAATCGTAATAGTAAGTCTGGAACTAAACCATGCAGGACTGGCGCTGCTTTCTTAACGCCTGATTACATAATGTTTTGCATGCATCTGAGGAAAGCAGATGTGAAACACTATATTTGCGTATATGCAGCGACATAGTTTAATCAATGATAGCGCTGCAAGCTACACCAGGTACACGGTGATAACCGAGTGTTCTTTACAAGGAGATGGTGACCACGGGTGACCCGCAAAACTGATTACGTGATGATAACCAAGAAAATGCATACTTGTACCTTACGCCAACCACTTAGGAGTAGAAAACGTCGAACCATACCGAGGGGTACATGTATCCATCCCTTGAAGGAACACGGGCTTCGCAAAGACTTCTGTACAGTTCTAAAGATGACGGAGATTAAATGTCTTTCCTGGTTGCTGACATGTACCTCCCTATTCTGTTTTTGTAACTGTCAGGACAGTGTTGTGACTGTTATACAAAGATTGAACCAGTTTGAGGAGGAACTGCTTGACAAAAAAAGTTGGTATTCTCCGTGTAGAACAAAAGGTATTAAATATCATAGATGTCGCAAAGACATCATTGAGAGCTGAATTAAAGGAAAACATACGGAATCAAGTGAGAGAAGCTATGGCCGAGATTCTCTTCAGGACATGGTGAAAAGTCAGGTTGTCTCTGAAATGCGGCATCTAAATCAGGGCTACCATCAGACGAAGAGGCAGCTGCATCATGTCTGAAGATCACTCAAAGACTTCCAGGACGAGACGACCGCGTTTCAAGAATCTGTCATGGAGAAGGCACAAGGTTGGAATGGAGAAAACTCAAGTGATACATGTGTCAGAGAAAACCACAGACTGGAAATAGAACTACAGAAGTGTGATGTTTACGCTGCAAGTCTCAAGACAGATATTGAACGATTTACAGTATTGAATGAGACGTGTCAGTCCCAAATATCACAACTGAAAACAGCTCAATCAGCTGAACATGTTAACTCTAAATCCGGGTCACCTGTGTTGACTATGTCAATGACGACACTCAGGCCAGAAGAGGAGAAACGTAGGATCCTGATTGTTCCATACTGGTCATATTCCCAGCATCACTTCCGTCAGCTCACTATTCACAGTAACTCTCTCAGTGAATATCCGTATCTCTCCTTGAGGACGGTGTTATCTGTCGCCTATATAGCAAAAACGAAGAAACTTCTCATAGGATTACACGACCCTGACAAGATAGTGTCATCTCCCCTGGATACGAGTCATGTGACAGTGCTAAAAATAGGTGTGGCGGCAACTGGAATTGAAGTGGATGAAGATCGGGACATCGTATTCATATCCACATATCGACCACGAAACACAATCAGCCGCATGTCCACACAGGGCAAAAACTTTATTGTCACCATTGACTTATCCGAGTACGAAAGCTACCCAAGGCAAATAACCCTTGACACAAGGAGAAAAAGGATATATTGGTGTAGTAACCAGAGAATGTTCACAGTAGCATATGATGGTCGAGGTCTGGCAACATTAGCCACAGGACGTAGCATGTCTGCTGTAACTCTCGATCAGACAGCTGGTGTGCTGTATTTTAACAATGGGAGGAAATTGATGAAGATGACAGTATCCAATAATGTGAGTACAGAGGTGACCACACTGAGAGCCTATCCTCGCAACATAAGACTGTACAGAGGCACCATCTACTTCAGTGGCTATGATCCTCCTCTTGTAGGTGCTGTTAATGTGACATACAGCGCTGTACCGTATAATCAGCACTACATACGCATGGTTGGGGTCAGTACTCTACACCTGTGTTTGATTCCGTGAATTCTATAATGGATGTTCTTCAATGACACTGTAGAATGCTTGATTATGACTGGTCAAAATAGAATATTTCATTTCAAACCTCTACTATACCAACTCTTTCCCCACAAATTAATGAATTCCTCGACCTGAAAACAATCGTTTGTAAACAATTAGTAACGTTTATAAATCCTTTATGTTCGGTACTCTTCTCATTGAAACAAACGATAATTAACGCAAATTAAAACAGTAGAAAAGTGTAAAAAAACTGTTCAGGACAATATATTGTTAACAAACCTTTTTGTAAGCGATATTTTTTCGCCTTCTCCGAAAACCTCCAATTCAGCGTTCATTCAACATGGGCCGGCAGTTTGTTACTGTGAACATAATTTTCTTCTTTGATAGGCATTTAGAAGTTGGAGTATTAAGTAAGGATAAGATTTATGGATGAACAACTTCTTTATTACAATTAAGAGCGACCTTTCGGTGTGGGTTTTAACACCGTTATCAAGCAAGTGCTACACCGACACGTCGCTCTTAATTGTAATAAAGAAGTCGTTCATCAATAAATCTTACTTTCGTGGATACCGTTGTTTTGCAATGAGGCCATTTCCGTAGATTACATCGTATTGTGCATATTTGATTAAGATCACCCCTACAAAGATACACGAAATATGGTTTCAGTGATGAATATTAAATAATTGTACATTGGTTCGTGTACATAATTAGTGTAACTAGTATTCTTTCCGATACATTAGGTGTTTTCGAACATGTGTGTATTGTATGTAATGTTTGTGTTGAGAATTGGTTATTCATTCACAGAATAAAACAAACTATTATTATATGAAACATCAAGTTGTAACATTAACTCCTGAAGTATTTAAATAGTACCACACTATAAAGGATTTTATATGAACGGAACTTCTAATACCCCCCACAACCCCAAAGTGAAAGTCCGTTCTGGGGTGTTTTTCTTTTAATCATTACTTGGCTTATAAATACTAGGCAAGCAACGTATTGAACGTACATCAGGACCAGACCAACGGGGCATACAGAGAAACAGACTAAAAATACTTTGAAGGAAATAGACATAGAGAAACAGTGACATTTGCCACCATGTGTGTGTGTGTGTTTGTGTGTGTGTTGGTGGTTGAGTTAGTGGCGGGAGCTACAGGCAGGGCAGGACATGCTTAACCTCCTAGCGACCATCTTGAGTCATCACTGATGTTCAGTGACCCATTCATATAATTATCATATAATTGCTACTTTGTCTTGTACGACCAGTGGAATCTGATAATCGGAACTGATAATTCTCAGGGGCTGACGCTTCAAATTTACATTTGAAAGGTGAGGTTAGGTGAAGTGAAATAGGGCTTTATGTCGCATTCAAGATTGAAGAACGTCTATAGCGACGTGCATGCACGTGTGTGTGTGTGTGTGTGTGTGTGTGTGTGTGTGTGTGTGTGTGTGTGTGTGTGTGTGTGTGTGTGTGTGTGTGTGTGTGTGTGTGTGTGTGTGTGTGTGTGTGTGTGTGTGTGACTGTCAAAGCTATGTCTCCAGGTATAGGTGAGGTGAAATGGGGTCTAACGTCGCGTCCAAGATTATTACGTTTATATAGCGGCGTGCATGTACGCATGTGTGTGGGTGTGTGTACTAGTCCGGACTGATGCCGATTTATAATGTTAGCCAACTGAGATACTATGCCTCAGTTCAACATGAATATCCTACTCAGACACAGTATACTGACTCCGAGCCGACCAGTACTTGATTTAGCCCCTTAATATTTCTCAGCAACATACACATAACATTGTAAGCAAGAGAACATTGAGCGGTTATCATTGAGAGTATGTCAAGTATTACATGTGATAATGTATGATGACAGTATCCACACGTATTATACTATACCTATGTTATACAGTATGCAGCAGAACGTATACTATTCTATGATTCCTTAGGCTCGTTCTCATTATGCGTTTTTCGCTCTGTGCGAGTGTGTGCATGTTTCCTTCTTTGTATGCCATTTAGTTTATTTTTGGTGTGTAGTGATCCTCTTTAGGCCTAGTTCCCTTTTATTCTCCCTAAGGTCTAACTGCCTCTTTGTGTCCAATTGTGCCTATGCCCCTCTTTTTGTCCCATTGTATTGTGCATTTGTCCCCCTTTGTATCAATGATTGTTAAAGTCATGCCACCAGCTACTGGATGTTCGAGAGTGACTTCAAGCTGCTAACTCTTACGTACAAGTGTGTGAATGGAACAGCTCCATCTTAACTCAGTGACCTTGTCTATGTGTACCAGCCATCTAGGAACTTGCGCCTGGTGACAAACTTCAGCTGGTCATTCCCACAGTGAAACTTAAATCCTCTGGTGCCTGAACTTTTCCAGAAATTGCTTAAAAAATAGAATGTTCTTGCAATTGCCCTTAGAACAACACCTCACTTGATATTTTCAAGTTAATACTTAACGGTTGCGGTCGGGTAGCCTAGTGGTAAAAGCGTTAGCTCGTCACGCCGAAGACCCAGGTTCGATTCCCGACATGGGTACATTATGTGAAGCCCATTTCTGGTGTACCCCGCCGTGATATTGCTGGAATATTGCTAAAAGCGGCGTAAAACCATACTCACTCACTCTTTGAATACTTTACGCATATGTATGTGTGTTGTCAGCGCTTTCAGCATGATTTGTTGCGTGGAGGTTAGCGCATTATAATAGTTCTTCTTTTTATTAGTATCTATAACTGTATACCCAGCAAATGAACATGCATGCCTATTTCCTTCTTTGTCTGCTACTCCTTGTGCCTAATAAATTGTAGTTTCTCGTAATGCATATTTCAAACCTTTTGTCCAATGCCTTTATGCGTCCCCGATGTAATTTGAAAAAGATGACAAGCAAGGTCGCCGAGTCTCTCCCACACCTGAACCTCTCCCTGAACCTCCTCGACCTCGGCCTCTGGCTTATATGGGGGTCTCGGGTTGATGTGGGTATGATATTAAAATTGCCTCATAATAACCTATAAGTATTGCAATATACTGGTGCAGCAAACACGAGTTTCAGGTAGGTTTACCACAGCATTTAGATTTAATTGTACTGGAATTGAACCACAACTCTGTCTTTGCTGGTAGTCTGATCCCAACAGTAATAAATGTTTTATTAATACTGAAATACGGGAAAGGATACTTTCAATAGAAGAAGGTTTATTTTTCACATATGCAATTACACAATATTATTAAGAAACATAGTTACTACATGCACTCGTCAGATTGTAACAACTAGAAAAAAGGAAACAGGTTTGTAAAAATAGTATTGGCATTCTAACCAGACAGGACCTTCACAAGTACACAATCGCACACAATACACGCCAGTATAATTCCCCGTCGTTAATAAATTTCATGAAGTCCTGATCCACTGTTGACCGTGATGGTTGAATTGTATAACCATCACAGTAAAATCATATAATCAGCGCCAGAAACTAATCAGCCTGCTAACAAGAGCACATTAAACATGTCATAAATGCAATACACTTATTAGACCGTGCACTTCAGAACATGCCGTCTTACATGGGGTATGTACGCCCACGTCCCTCATATCTATGTTGCTGAACATCGATGAAGTGCATGCCAGATCAAACATGTTTAACGAATGTCCTATGTGACATATGATGTGGTTTTTAAACTGAAGATCATAAAACATTCATGTATTCGGATTCATCGAGTACGTATATTATGTGCCTAATGTTAATTATCCGGTTTTTTTATTTTGAAGTTGCCAAAACCTGCCCAACTCGTTTTATATTGAATACTGCGAGATTAAAGAGTTAGAGGGTGTAATATATAATATATTATAGATTATTTATTATACATTATAGTCTTTAAAAAAGCATGCACTTCAGTAAACTACGAGATTTGCACTTGTTGGAATCGTCTCGTTAACAAAATACAACAACTTCTTTCAACATTAACGACGAACGAATTAAGTGGAATAATATGAACAATGTCATAAGACGTGCACTTTAGTAAATACCCTCGTACATAGGGTCTAGATAGTGTGTAAATTTGATTGAAATATAATTAATATGATATAATGTGTAAAATAGCCTTTAAAAATTCAATTGATAAATTACGTTTTATATTTAACCCACACAAAAGAGCCAAAGGAACGATTGTACTTGTCAGTTCGTTTGTTTGTTGTTTGACGCCGCACTCGGCAATATTCCAACTCTCTGACCGTGGCCTGTAAATTATCGTCTCTGAACCAGAAAATCCAGTGATCGAAACGGAGAACAACAATTAATCCACGCCGTTGGGGTGCGATAACACGTAATTAACCAAGTCACCGAACCTGCCCACGGTTGCCTGCATACGTTACTGGGGACTTATTCTACTCATGGTGTGTGTGTGTGTGTGTGTGTGTGTGTGTGTAGAGGGAGACTATGCTACCCATTGAGAGGAACTATAATAACAGGTGCTCAGCTGCAAACATATATATAATCAAAGCGAGTTCAACGCAAACACACCTGTCTGCTGCAGACGCGGCAATAACGACCAAGATTATAGGGGAAAATCTTAAAATGAGCTCATTTTCAAATTTGGTAAAAAACACAACTTAGAATTCATTATGTGGGATAAAATATTTTTGAACCACGACTGCACGTAGACGCCATCACGTCTATATATTAAATATGCTTCTATTTTAATGAGACACGTTTTTATCCCTTCACCCTCTGTAACCAACAACTCAATCAATTGACAGAAATGTCAATCGAAATTTCAGGTTTGATCGATCGATAAATATTATTTGAAAAATTGCCCCGAGGAAACATTGGTGTCGTTACATATTGCAATAGAGCATTTTCCACGACTTCCAACCATTCTCGGACGTCATGTTGAATGATGACGTCATCCTGTTGAATAAAGCACAGAGAGGTTGTTCAGAGTTGTAGCTGAACATGCCACAGTCGCGGTGGTCTGCACACAGATGAATACAGTCGGCGAAAGTAGTCACCTTCTCCTCGACAAGTCCATCGCTGAATATCCCGGGTCCGTTGACCAGCTCAAACCGACTTCTGAACATTTCTCCTTCAAAAGATGAAAAGGCCTATTTAGAAACTGGGGAAATAGTATATGCTTAACCTACATTCAAAGTTGCAGTGCTTTGGAGAAGTTTATAGTGTATAACATGTATTATTGGTGTTGGATTTAATTTCTCTATTAATATTCCGCAAAATCATGACACTTTTATATTTTAGTGTGAAAATAGGTAGACGTCTCAACGTTTGATGAACTCAGCACATATAGTTGGGGCTGCTTAAGGACCTGGGTCATCGGTACACCCTGAATGTATAGCCTATATAAATACCTATGCGAGTTGTTGGTAGTGCACTATTCACTCGCTTGAGTAAAATATGTGCTACTGTGTCGGATTCGGGGAAATCCAAGTCCATCACTTTGGCTTCTCCAAGAACTACGCCCTTGCCCACGGCGACCTTATGAACATTCCAGTCAAGCCAAAACGACCTGCAATATTATAGAAAAGAAAGTCAGAGGACACGTTTTTCTTCAGAACAATTTCAGAAACACCAATGAAATTTAACGGCATTCGTGGTCTGAGAGATCGTCGGCCAGGAGGGCGGGTGGTCGTTGGTTCGATTACCGGCCGCGTCGGACTACAACACGTTTAAAGATCGTGCATGTGCTTACCCTTACTGACCCTCGGCTTTAAGGGGATGAAGCAAAGACTGGTCGCCTCGGAGTGAGGTATGTTAATTATAAAAACGGCATCAGTCCAACCACACATACACACACACACGTGCATGCACGTCGCTATAGACGTTCTACAATCTTGAATGCGACATATAGTTGGGGTTCGAACCACCGACATGAAACCCTATTTCACTTCACCTAACCTCACCTTTCAAATGTAAATTTGAAGCGTCAGCCCCTGAGAATTATCAGTTCCGATTATCAGATTCCACTGGTCGTACAAGACAAAGTAGCAATTATATGATAATTATATGAATGGGTCACTGAACATCAGTGATGACTCCAGATGGTCGCAAAGAGGTTAAGCATGTCCTGCCTTGCCTGTAGCTCCCGCCACTAACTCAACCACCAAACAGCCCCTTAGATGATTATCCGTTTGATTCCACGATTTAAGCGGATTATGGTGGTTTGTATCATCACATGCATGGTGGTAGGTGTCACACACCTTCATCACATCCGGCTTTCCGCATACAAAAGAACCATCTGTGACATAAGTTCAGTGTTCAGTGACCCATTCATATAATTATCATATATTTGCTACTTTGTCTTGTCTTGTGTGTGTGTGTGTGTGTGTGTGTGTGTGTGTGTGTGTGTGTGTGTGTGTGTGTGTGTGTGTGTGTGGACTGATGCCGTGTGCGAAATACGCTACAGTCGGAAAGCGCACGTTAAATCTCCTATATCAGTCAGTCAAAAGTAGTAAACATATGAGACCTGCATCACTTCGGCTTTCCTCCCAAAGTGGCACACCGTGATATAACTGAAATACTGTTTAATGCAGCGTTAACACCATCTTACTCACTCACACAGAATCACTCTCTACAATATGTGCGCCCACATGGTATCAGAGACATAGCTTCAAAACAAGTCTATCATATTTGTAATTCCAAGGTGTATGGGTCATTGTCAGAACGAGTCGGGATTCGAACCACCGACCAAAGTCGAGGAATCATTTGTGAAAAACTTTCAAGTATTTTGTAGTAATGTTGAACGTATCTCGTTCACTCAAAAATATATAATTTTTTAAACATAACATGCTAAATAGCTGAGTTCAAGATCATATGGTGAATTTTTTTTTTAAAAACCATGCTTTGTATGTAATAGTGCTAGGGAATTCACTCGGGGTTCCCCAGTTATGTTGATATAGTCTGACAGTGTCTATGTTTTTTCAAGAATACAGACTTGTGAAAAACTTTTGAACGTCAAAGTGTTAAGTTCTTACGCTTTTGAAGTTAAGTTTTTTCGTCTAAAGGAAAGGCCGTGTATGTGAGCTTCACATTAGAAAGAAACAAAACATGTGCACTAACACCATTCATATCTCCCTTCGAATACCTATGTATACTCACTCGTTGAAATAGTGTAATTATTTGAGCTACAAAGCAACACAATCCAAGTGAGTCCTTCGTAGTGTTCAAGAATTTTGTTTATGTCATATTGTATCAAAGTGTTCCTATAATCTTTGTTTTAGAGATGTTGACCAGTGCTAATGCTTATGAAATGATTCATTATTCATAAAAAAGATTGCCAAAAACGTGTTTGTTCAGTTCTTATCTTTAGTTATAAGCAGCAGAATCTCTTCACTTGCGCGCATCAGACGTAATTCAAACTGAAAATATCGGTTTTAGTTTTACCCAAATAAGTAAACGCACTATCGTGTCAATGGATTGTCTGGTCAAGACTCGATTGTTTACAGGCCCCTGTCGCTAGTCAACAGAACCGCCGTGTGATGTTAGTAAAAAAGGTAATAAAAAAACACTTACTTTTTGGTGCAAATTGTGTGAGTTGCGGGTGGTTCCGGTAGAACAGAACATGGTCACCCTTTTAGCGAACACCTGGTGTCACAATTAAATTTTCAGTGATCCATTCACATAATTGTCACTGCTATTTTGCATTTTAACGCCTTGTGGAATATGGTTGCGGCAGATAATCGAGCTGATCTATATCTATATTAAACTGTACACGTACTTCAAGCATAATACGAGACGAGAAGATGTAGGACGTGTATTAAAATGCCACGTCGTAGGGCCGATAATGATATGTCTTATTTTGATACTGTAGCATAAAATGCAATGATTTTTTAATGCATGAAATAATGAAAAGGTAGTCTAGTACTATTGTAAGCTCTGGTATGCACTGAAATATAGTTGTGCACTGCGTTCATTATTCCCTTTAGTCGTTAAAACAAAGTTTATGCTGAGACAAAAGGAAAGAGACATTTCTCTGACGATCCTATACAAAAAAATAAAACGGACATCCAATGTTGGACTAACTATACGTGTTATTAATCTTAAGGAGATAAACGGTCTGCTAAATACATTGTAACCTTGCTAAAGCGAAGTCTTGTGGACCGTTCAATATTGGTCGAGGTTTCCGTATGTCTACTTATCTTTACCTATATTCATCACAGGACAGAATGTCCGCTGTTGGAAGGAACCTTTCAGTTCCGTTTCCCAACAGTTTAGACCACGAATTACTCCATCCGCCGATAACCGCGGACATGACTGTATTTCCCAATGAGTCCGTCATCGTAAATCCATGGTCTTCACATGTCTTCACTTGGAACGTGATGCTGCGGCAGCGACTGATATCAACTCCATAAGTGGTCAAATTAGTGAAGGTTGGAGATTCCGCTGTAAGAGTCACGTCCAGTGGCAAACCTATAAGTGAGTGATATAGTTTTTAGTGAGTGAGTGAGTGAATGGGTTGGGTTTCAATATATTTCAATTATGTCACAGCATGTCAGCTTTATGTGAGAGAAGAGATGCAGATATCAAACATTCATCACTTTGGCGAAACTGGCGGGCAAGGGTATGGTGCTGACGAACGTCGAATCATAATCGGGAATCAGGATTCGATCACACGCTCAAAGGTTTCTGGCGTGCCCATGGGACATAGCTCGAATTGCGGCACCACCCGTTCCCCCATAGATTTTAGCATGACGGTCATGATACCACATTTATATCAACTTATTATTCATGCTACATTGAATGGGATACGTCAGAATGTTTACGGGCAATGAGTTAGATATTAAATCAACATGCGACACAGTGGTATTTGATCACATAATTCCATTCAAGAAACATTCTTGGAAGTAGAGTAACAGGTTGGAATTAGGCATTAAGAAACCGCTTCACCTGTTACTCAAGCGTTGTGATAGACAACAATAAGACAATATTTACACAGTTGATAAATTTAACGATTACAAAACGAAAATATTGTACTTGAAACATACGAAATTGGTGTGAAACAACTTCTCTTTCAAGTTCTGCTTTCAACAATGAGAGCAATACGTACCATGAACAGAAAAGGCAAATACCAAAGAGAAGACGTTACACGGGACGATCATTGTGAGTGCATCTCGTGGCACCTACTGATGTACTGAAGCTGTCAGGACAACCGTAAGCCGAGCTGATACGTATTACCTTCCAGCACTCTTTTGATCTGCCCTCCTGTGGTTCATGTGTCAGTCGTATAGGACGAGATGCTCGTAAGTTTTCCCAAGGTTATAGAAGGCAATGAACACATATCAACCACCAATTCCCTTAAGCCGCATCAATACTGTAATCGTAAGATAGCTGTAAACGAAAGCTGTAGTGTGTGACCAGATACTCTATCGTTCTCACGACTTAATGCTGTCACAGAGTATGGAACCTTTGTAACATTGTGACAGTGATGATGGTATTTCGCAGATGCACCTAGTAAACTGTATTTGTTTGAAGTCAGGAACAATCGTGCAAAAGGAGCTATATCTGTTTGTACTATTCATGTCTTTATATTGTTTACCTTTTAACAGTAACAGGTGTGCCAATAAAACATTCATGTTATTTTTAATAATCTCGAAATGTAAGTAACTACAACAATGTGCAAACATACGACAAAACAATTTTCATAGTAAGAAGATTCTGCTCAAAACGGTCCATTGTACGCTTTCTTAGCATTTGTTTATTAATCACTTTCAAATTTTTATGATACCAGGTGTTCGCAAAAAGGTGCGCATATTCTGCCCCATCCGTCACAGACACATACAAAGACAAGTCAACTGCTCACTTGAAACAAACTCACTTGCTGATAGATTCATTGACTCGATTCTTAACCACGTCCAAAGCGACTTCCCACACGCAGGTGCACCCACTTGGTTACTCAGACAAAGACTGGCGTTGTACTATATATTTGTATTGTATTACATACGCCGTCAATATAGTCTTGTCTTAATTCAAATCAGCAAACAAACCATCAGTACCAAATAAAGATACTCCTGAAGCAGAAGGTTGATGAATTTGGTGTTTTTATTAACTTATTGAATGTTGAAAAAAGAAGGAACGTATGCGTTTAATTACATTTATGCAGATGTATGGTGAAACCATAATGGCATCTTAAAATTAAAGTAACAGTGGTCCAGAAAATATTCTTAACTTTTTAAACAAAGTAAATATTTTGATAAGAAAGGTATAATGCCACAATAATCTGAAACATTTTGAGGAGAGAAAAAGTAATGGCAAAATTACAAATTACAAATGTTCAGAGGAACTAGCAGATGTACTTGACACTGGTGTCAATTGTGGGAAACTGTGTATCAAATGGAGATATATCTAGTAAGATGGTTTATTTCATTGCCTAAACATTTCATAAATGTGATCATCACCTCTTGATGGGTAAGAAAAATCAGGAATTAAAGACGCGCATTAAGGAACATTGGGAACATCAGAAAGTATCTTACAAAGGAATCCACCTTGGTCCTCGCATGTCATGAGCAGGGTAGAGAATGTCTCCGTGGTGGTGCCTCCCCACATCTGATAAGCAGCTTTCAGAAGATCCACAATACTGCTGCGAGGATAGTTTCCCTCAGTCACATGTACGATCACATTACTTCAGTACTCTCCAGCTTACTCTGACATCATGTGCGTGAGGGAAAATCATTCAAACTTCTCTGCCGTACCTACAGGTGCTTGTTAGGTGATGCTTCAGTCTACAGGATGGATTGTGTGACCTACTGAAGATCTACACACCAGTACACACCCTCAGGTCTGAATTTCAAGATACCCTCTGTGTACCACATGTAAAGTCTGTCAACCATGACAGCCATCACTCCTTTCCCTTTTTCACTTGAACTTATAGTTTCTCCAACTTTCCAGATCTTTGGCGCCGAGTAAAGACTCCATTTTCAAGCTCGCCTTCACTGATTGAACTGAAACCTTTCTTGTGCGCTTCGAGGATACATTACGTGTTGAGGTTTGTGCTATATTTAAGTGGATTAAAAAAAATACAGCAAGGAGGGTTTGGGTGATCCTGGCACTGTCAGGCCGACTAGGCTCATCATCAGCTCAGGGCCCTTGTCCCCTCTACATGCAGTATAAGGGCAGTATTCGTGGCAACAAACCCGGGTACTCTCCCAATATCAGTCAGGGCACTGAGAACAATGAGGATTCGCACGTGGAACTTGGTATGAAAGCGTTATATTTTGAAAGAAAGGTCCGCATATTTGCCACGTTTTTCCTGAATCTTGTCAATCACACTGGTGTCAAAAGGGACAGAAAATTCAATGATATAAAGGACAAGATCAGGTTTGTTGTCCGGGATAGGTCTGAAGCTGTATTCGGGCCTATTCCAAAGAATTTTGTATTTATCATTTTCCTTGACGCCCTCAACATTTTCTGGTTCATACAATAGATGGAACTCTCTGTCAAAACCACAAGCATAGCGAAGACGGTAAAAAATGATCGAGCCACTCGCTTAAGATATTGTGTTTGTGCCAGAGCTGGGCATCTACTGACAACGTGTTGGACAGTCTCATTATATTCATTGCATATTCTACATTTCATATGCAAAATCACACAATGACGGTTTCGATTGGGAAGTGACTGGTCTTCAGCAGCAAACTGAAAACCTTCTGTTTCACTTTTCAGGCCAGCCGACTTCATCCAAGCGAACTACTATGCAGGGTGGCTCCACCTCTCAAAAACTGCGCAAAAACTCGAATCAGTGGTCGTTCAGATGGCCCTCTTTTTGCAAAACTGCGTCTTGGCCGATTTGATATGGCACTTCGCTTGTTTTATACCCATTTCTGTATCGTTCAGCAGTACAGAACCACCAACAAAATCAACACTGACTTTGAGATAATGTCGTTTTGAATGAGTTATGTTGTCATTTGCAGAAAGGACCAGTGGATATGGGGTAGAATAGGTCTTCAGCAACCCATGCTTGCAAATTCGACTATGCTTGTCGTAAGAGGCCACTAACGCGATCGGGTGGTCAGGCTCGCTGACTAAGTTGATGCATGTCATCGTATCCCGTGGATCAATGCCAATGATGTCAATCTCTGGATTGCCTAGTCCAGACAAACAACCAAACATTTGCAGAATTTCACAAACTGAAAAGGAGGAAACAGAATTGAAAGAAACCCATTCCGTCCAGCCTGCTGTCAGTGTGGCTGACCTTCATGGAACTGTGTAGCTGTTTCCACTGACGAGAGCTGAGTACCGTAATAAGTATTTCAGTACGTCAATTGGTTGGTATATCAAACAATGCCACATTCTTCTGTAGAACGCCAGTACACTAATTGAGGCAGACATCTGCCAAAATCACACATCAATATTATTACTTTGTGGCTTGAAGATAAATTACACGGATATTTGACCTAGAAGTTTTTATTGATGAATACGCTTCAAGTATATTGATTGTCGGATATGCTGATATTCAATAATTTTCAAATGGCCAATTCGTTCCACTGAAATAGGTATAGATTAGACCAGTGAAACCACCTCATATGTTTCCTATATAGAACTGTATACAGAGTATCCACACAACTGTATGACAGCAGGGATGACTTCCAGATCATTTTCCTTACTATCGGTCAATAGTTCAGCCGTTTCAGTCTTTGGTGTCTACATTTTACAACTTTTGAGGTGTAATAAAGCAAGCTCTTTTTACAAGGATTTCAAAGAGTGTCATTCGACAATTCCTGAAAATAATTCGAAGCCGTCAAGGCCGTATTGAGACTTTCAAATATATGTATGGCAGACATTTACGGGATATTTCCAAAATTTGACGAATCAGTGACATAAATGATTTCTGATCTTCCTATTTTTATATACACCATAATAGTGTTCTGGTGTTATTCAGTGACATATGTTTCTATTGTGTCTCATGAAATAGAATCTTACGATTCGATCTTTTAGACACTGTGCTAAACACTGAACACAAAAAGATAATGTAATGAATTGCTGTGATCAATTGAATCGGTTCATTGAAGGCATTAGCATGAACAGATTCAAAGAGCTGCTAATGGTTTGCAATGTTTTACCAAACTTGCTGATCCTGTTATCACAGGAGTAACATATTACGTCAACATTATCAAATTATTGAGGAAAGCTTTGGAGGATATTTCCGAAGTCCATGAGCGATATCATCATCAACCACAAATTCCGTCCGCGGATTGAAACGCAGGATGCAATAATAACAGACTTTTGGATTATCTAATAATATTTCAAGAAATATGCACAATACGACAATCGTTGTAAGCTTATTTGTTTTATACAATGTTGACCCCTCAGGGTGCCTATGCACATGTGGCCTTTGATTTATTGAAATAAGATTTTCTGCTTTTGGTTTTGATTTTGTTAACTGATGATCTCCACTGGTGACACCATCTGTACGCCACATCCAAAACGCTCAACATACAGGTTCATCAGGTGCGATTAGGGTTATGTCGATGATGACGTGGATTCATTGAAGCTTACGCCACAATTCAAGTTGTGTTCCATCAGCCATATCATTGATGTAGACTGAGAATAAGATTGGCGACATTTACATCCCTGCTTCCCCGTGAGTGGTACTGGTAAAATGATCTGTATTGAGGCCATTAAAATGCACAACGCACTGTCCATCTGCATAAAGACTCTGAATAGAATCTACTTTTTCAGTAGTCCCAATTTCATCAATTTAAACCATAGACAAATTCTAAGCTTTTTGCATGTCTACAACACATATGTAATGTAGTGTTTGGATGTCTTGCTACTTGTCTATACTTGTAACATATGGTCATAAAATCATCACATGTTATACTGCAGGAAACTGCTTCTCGAGTTCCATGAAAACATGAATTGGATTACTTTAAAAACATACCTGAAAAGACAGCCTGGTCAAGCTGATACGTTAATAACTGCAGGATACTAAATCAAAAAAGTAATTGCCTTATTATCCGTTTAAAAACATGAACATATGCTCACATAATCGACTCAGGCAAAGTCGCCTATCATCACCCATTCATACTTACTTTATAACAGGTCGGGATCACAACTAAAAAATGAAAATAATTAGTGATGTGTTTTTTAATGTTTGTTAAAATTGTTGAATAAGTCATTTGGTGTATAAATTTTGTTATTTGATTTGGGAAAGGGAAAGAATGGGACCGAGGCGTTTTTCGA